GAGGACCATATCTTGTTTGATTAGAAGTTCTTTTCTCTCATCGCAACAACGTTATAAGCGGCGGTCCCAGGGTCAGTGCACCTTCCGCGCTGATTGACAGGGTTATCTATACGGACGATTAGTGGGGTCCTAACTAGAGATTCTCTGAGACTCTGCGGGCACTCTCACCCTTCCATTATTGATTTTCAAAGTGAGTTTTTTTTATTTTGAACACGCGGTCGAGAATAATGGCACAAAAAATTACTGAAATATTCGGGGGTATCAAAGATTTCCTTTATTTACTTAGCAATTAACCTTAACAGTTTTCACTTGGGCTGGTTACAGACGACAATTTTTTCAGGCTATGATTTAACTTGAGAATGAAACACACACCATGCTTAAAACTGGACAGTGAAAACAAACTGGTTAGAATTTTCTCTGTAAGTTCTTCTGGTGGATATTCACGGTCGAAAATTTGCACAATTGGACAAAAATGGTTTTTATTAGAAACGGCCGAGCTGCACCGGCAACGAAAAAGGTGTTGAAGATAATTGCTTTGGCATCTGTCAACAATTTGGTGTTTCTTGGCGATAGGACTCAATTTGTCTAAAACAAAACGCATGTAAATGGCGACTTTCTCGGTAACCTTTGCGTTGCCTGTATAACGAATGACACAAGTCGTTATTTGTATAATTGAACTCTGCTAGCTGGTTATTTCTTGACCTACGGTTCCTTTTTACCTCGTGGTTTGAGATTACTAACGCGATGATCAAGGTTGAGATATGGACCTGAAATTCACTCAAACACTCTATTCTAATTTTGATCGAAAAGGACTGAGAGCATGTTTTCGATGACATACATGCGACCGTTTACGTGTAACAGAATACTTAATTGTAAAAATTGAAATATAGTATGCATTAAGATCTGAATTGCTTAAATTTAATGGGCTTTTACAGGAAAATATTAAAACCTTGAAATTGAAATTCATTTCTGATCCGAGCTTTGATATTTTGATCCTGAATGCTTTCTGGAACTTCTNATCCCCTTATAGGAATTTGCCCATATCTGACCATTCTGGAATTAACTGACCACACCTTATCGAAATTATGACCGATTCACAATTTTCTTTTCAAAAAGCACTGTTTATTTTTGTCAACCAACTACGAGAATTCGACGCTTTATCAAGAAAAACCTACTAAAGTTTGCCTCACTCCCTACACGTGAGTTCGTGGCTCAGTTTGGTATTAGTGCCCAACTAATATCTGGGAGGTAAGCGTTCGAAACCTGTGGATAAATTTTTTCAGGCGGCTTTCCTGCAATTTCTTTGATTGCAGCTCGCCCGCAAAGATCATTTCTCTACTTATTTCCTGATTTCTCACTCATTTTACAGTTGAAGAACATGGAGGCAACTCATCTTTCGCCCAACCTGTCTGCGACCAATTTTCTTCTCAACTGGACAACACAGACACCACTCGAGCCTATGTGTTCGTTCCAGCCAGTAGCTCAACACAGCTTCTCATTTTCTTGTTACTGGTGATCGTTGGAACAGTTGGATTTATCGGAAACAGCCTCATTTACCACTTCGTTTCTTCCAAGAGCAGAAGATTTTCCCACATACAGTCCACAGTTTTTGTCAGAAATTTTAACTTCTACGTGAAGAGCCTGGTCGGATATACTCTCCAACTCGATTTCTCTCCCCCTGATTTATATTCAACTGATGTTTGACGTGTTTCAACAAGGTTGGCCTTGCAGGGTTGTTCGTTACTTAAACATGCTGTGGCCTTCAGTGACAATGAACAATTTGATGGTAATAAGCACGGAGGGGTATTTTTCAACTCGACCCATTCCTCGTTCTTTCAGCGTCTCCTGCGTTCGTAGACTGATTTTTGGGGCGTGGGTCGCAGGTTCACTGCAGTGATTGCTCCACGTTTCACCTTTAATGGCACTGCAGTGATTGCTCCAACTTTCACCTTTAATGGCAAAAGATTCGAACTTGACAACAACCGCTACACAGTCGTTTTTAAAATAGAGAACACTTACTTGCCTATGAGGGTAATATTTGTAATCTATGCAGTACTTCAACACGTTCTACCGAGCACAATATTCAGCTGTTTTAATATTTCACTGATAAAAACCGTTTGGACCAGGAAAAGAAGCCCACTGAATAAGATTCAGATGACTAATGCTATTCGGGCGAAGCTCAGAGCTGCTAAACTGCGAGCGACGTATCTCCTCATTCTCATAACATTCGCCTTTATTATCCCACATTCTTGGTCACTATATTACGCTACTTATGTCATGAATGAATGAATGAATGAATTCCTTATTCATATTGTGCCCTTTCTATACAATATTCAAAGGCGCAGTACCCCCCATCAATTAGATAGACACTACACAAAGATAGACCACAACACCAGGCACTACGTTCCCTACTCTTTTCGAACAGTGTGTGGGTTCTTTAACGTCTCACAATTTTTTTTTTCACACACAAGGGCTTGTGAGACGGGACCTCCATTTATCGTCATGGTAGTTAATCCTTTGCTTGATTTTCAATTCGATTATAGAATACGATGTCTTAGTATTGTACTTTTTTTGAAAACAGCACCCTGAATTTTATCATATACGTAGTACAGATGAGTGATTTCCGACATTTTTTAAGGAGAGTGCTTTGCAATAAAGTTAGTTAGAGTTGTTCTCAATTCAAAGATGACTTCACTGCCCACGTGAAATACAAAATAAACCAATAGGCACTCTGAGCAAATGCACGTGATCGGCATTGTATCGTTAAAATATCATTGTATCATTGTATCGTTAAATCTGATTGGTTGAGAACGTTAAGGGTTTTCTTGGAACCAATCACAGGCAACAATAAAACAAAGCAAGGTGATGAACAATGAAATGATGCAATATAGCCTTGTGCGTCGTCTACAAAAGAAAATTTTTCAAACTGGTTGGAATTGTGCTTTAACCAAACAGAACTCTGATTTATAATAATCATCATTTTCTTACTCAGAAAATCAAATAAAGTTTGTTGGCTAGTTCTTTAGACAAGGTACCATTTAGTAACAATAAAGTACAAATTTAAATTAATACAAAATAGAAAGATTCTTGACTTAACAAAACTCTACAAAAACGTCCATTCATTTACAGACTCAAACTTCCATAAATAGAGTATCGTGTCATCTTTTGCTACCCCCCATACAAGGGGGGGATTTGGGTACTGTCTTTGTGCTACCGTCCCATTGTTCTGGTGTTTTGGCCTTAAAGAATAACAAAATTAAATAAACAATAATCATGATAATGAAATAACAACATCTGAAGGCCTACTGCACCATTTCTCTCTAAAATAAGTCTTCAGTTGTCCTTTAGTTCAATGGTTCAAATAGGAAGTCCATGAAAAAAAGCACACAAGAAAAAAATATCTTTTCTCTCCTCACACCCCCTTCCAACTCCCTTGCATTTGTGCCTTACATCACCCTCTGTTCATGTTTTAATACAGCTGCGATCATCTAGGTGGTTTTTGGAGCATAAAAATAAGATCCATGAATCCTCTAACTCCCAAAGAGCTCATAAGTAATTCTCCTTACTGTCTGCCATACAACTCTTATAATAGTAGTTTGGAGAATCTGGTATTGGATCAACCATAGTTAATAGAGGGGACACCTGTCCCCTCTATTAACTATGGATCAACTAACAACCCCCTAATTGATATTTTTCTTTATTCTCATCACTTGTCTGCTTGATATTGTATTGCTATTTTAAGGAGAAGTTCTGTCTTGGTCACTCATGAGAGTTAAAGGATTAAGGGAATCTAAATAGGTGATTTTAAGCAATAGACTGAACTTTCTATTGGTTTACCAGGGTAACAAACCAACTTGGGAATGGTGGGAGAACACAAGAAAAGTCTGTAAATCACTCAACTTCAGCTTGTGGTTTACAAATTTTTTTAGTATTTTCCCAACATCCTAAGTGGATCATTTCAGTGGTAAACCAATAAAAAGTGCAGTCTATAAATTTGCTCTCATCAAACAACTATGGGTTAATCAGTGCAACAAATAATATTTCAGTTATTCTATAGATAAACATGACATGCTTTGGAAAATAAGTTTATCAACTCTCATCACCTGCTTCCTTACTAATGCATTTACATCATAAGAAGAAATAACATGTTAATCCCTTACAGAATCAATTACCTGTATTGACAAAGCATGGACCCCAGTTGCCAACTCTTCCTTTAGGACTTCATTAACCAATCTGTGTCTCTGTTGACCCAAAGAGATCTGTTAAGTCTCCACACTATGTGCCATATATCATTTCTAACTAAAACTAACTTTCTGGGATTTGAACTTTAGAGATTGGTTTGTCCAAATTCCTGCACCCTGCAGTAAAAATTTTCGCACCCAATTTTTCTATCAAAGGCAAAAGCAGGGAGCATGACTTTTTACACATTGACCAAGCTTTAAAACTTACAACTGGTAGACCTTTACTTCTGAGCCATTCCATCACACAAGTGAATTATTTAATAGTAACTTTAACCAACTTCATATTTTAAGATATAATAATATATGTATTCCACTGGAAAGACTAAGCACTTCTGGTTCAAATTCCTCACTCCA